AATTTCCTTTTAGCTCTCATTGGAAACTGTCAGACAAACATATTAAAGCATCAAATTGAGGGGCTGAGTTGGGGACATTTACTCTGAAAAAAATACGAGCACATACCATAAAACGTAGACATTTTTCTTATCTTGTTGGGGGAACAGAAGTTTTAGAACTAACCACTTTAAAAAGTTTCTTCTTCTTTTTTTTTGGCTGTGCTGCACAGCTTGCGGAATCTTAGTTCCATGACCAGGGATTGAACCCGGGCCCTCAGCAGTGAAAGTGTGGAGTCCTAACCATTGGACTGCCAGGGAATTCCCAAAGTTTCTTTATATGCCTCAAGCACCCCCAAAAATGAAATCTTATAAAAGAAAAACAAACAAAAAAAAACCCCCAAAACACACCAAACCTCTATGGCTTCATTCCAAATTCGGATGACTTTTTTCAGAAAAAAAGGATTGTATCAAAATACAGATGGTTCTCAACTTTAAAAAACTCTTTTAACTACCTTTCTTACACAGAATTTCATCTTTTATTCATTACCTGACAAGTGATAAATCTGAGTTATCAGAGTAGGGGCGGGCCCAATCTTTGTCAAAGTTAAGACAGAGAGAGTCCACTGGCTGATCCTTGTGGAGATGCCAGCCCATGCCTGCAGAAGTGCTCCTCTGCCCAAAAGCGCACATTCTCCCGCCTTACCCCACCCGAACTCGGGGGACAGTCACTTAGAATGAAAGACGGAGGCCATAGTGGTAACCTACCCTTGGAGAACCTCTCATAGCTCTGGGATTTTTCAGAATAAAATATAGTATTTACTGGCAGCACTGGTGTTCAAGAAACCAATAAAGCTCCACCTTAATAAAAACTAGCAGGCTTTTGGACACCGAAATTTTATATACAATGTTTCTCTTTAAATCCTTTAAAGAGTACCTTACTGACTCTTAAACAACTTTTTATCTGCAGACACACTTCCTTTGCACTTCTTATTTTTCTTGAATAAGCATGATGTTTATTGTCATATTACATTGGTTTTCCTCTGTCTTCCACATTAAAAAGTTCTTTCATGTATTTTTCAAACTTACCATTTTTGAGGTTAATTTATTTAGCAGCAATTAGGAGGTTAAGAATTTCTGCTTATTCGTTTGAATTTTAAGTATTCTAGTTAGGGTAAATAAAGTATAAAGTTTTTATATTTGGTCAAGACTTTGACATGCCTTAAATCACCATAACCTTTCTTGCTTTACATATAGGATTGTTACCTAACGGGCTCTTTCCATACTTTTGCTCTTCTTTTTCATCACGTTCTTTTCCTGACCTCTTGAAGGAGCAGTATTGGGAAATACCAACCCTCATAGACAAATCAAAGAGCTGATGACCTGGTCATAGTCGTGTCTGATTTCTTCAAACACTACAGAGGCAGCTTTTCTCCTTCTGTTCTTTGTACAACGGAAGAAGACTCCTGTCAGCAGCTGCTTTTTGTTTTTTAAGAAATTCTCTGCCGGGGGAAAGTAATTCCTATTTACTGAATGCAATTTTCCCCACTGAGGTCAGTGGAAGCTGAGCAGCCAAACAGCGGCAATCCTTTGCCTAATCAGCAGAAAGAAACGCAAGCTAAAGAAACACAGGAGAAAAGAAAACGCTGGAACAAAGAAAAACCTACAGAAAAGACTAAAGAAGCAGGATTCAGAAGAGAAAGTTTATTTCATGACTACGGCAAAAGGACAAGGCACAGGGGAATAAAAGGTAGACTGAACTACATACTACACAGCAGTGGTGCTCCTACCAGATCCCATTAACCAGATTCAGAACAACCCTCAAGACCATCTAGTTCAGCTCCTTTTATTTGTTAAATGCTGAGAAAACAGGCCCAGAGAGAGTAAGTGACTTGCTTAGAAGTGGTAGTGAAAGCTGAGTTTGTTACCCGACTCCTGGTTCAGCATTCTTTTCACTAACATAGGACCAAAGAGCACCTACCTCACACATTGCAACATACATTTATCACACATGTATTCCATTTGGTGTTGGTGGTGGGCAACACAATGAATTAGATGAGAGTGACTCTAATTGTTGTTATTACCTAGTTCTGAACAAAAAGTGAAGTAGCAAAATATATGGGCACCTATAAGTAAAACACTGCGATATTAGTACATGATTAGACAGATCAATGGTACAGAATGGAAAGTCCAGAAACAGACTCAAATCTCAAATCAGTATGGGGACAACTGGATAGGTACTTGAAAAAGATGAAACTGGATTCATACTACATTAGAATAAACACCAAATAAATCAGAGATATAAATATAAAACATGAAATTATATAAAAAATAGAAGAAATATGAGTGAATTCCTTTATAATCTGAAAGTGGGATAAACCTTCCTAGTTGAGACTCAAAATCCAGAAGCATTAATTAAAAAAAAAAGGAAGTCCAATTACATAAAACTTTTAAATGTAAAACAAACACTATTAAAAAAGAAAAAAACATACCTTTGTCAAAAGACAAAGGACAAACTGGGGGGAAAATGTGCAACTTAAGACAAAGGGCTAATATCCCTAAAGTTTAAAAAACTTAAATACAGACTGTGGCGGGGGGGATACCCACAACACACTAGAAAAAAACATGCAAAACATATAAAAGATAGTCACAGAAGAAAAATTTAAATGATCCTTAAAAACATATATAAAGCATACAACTTTTCTTATAATAAGCAAGATGTATTTAAAATTGAACTGAGATACTATTACCCATCAGATGGAAATAAATCCAAAAGGGAGAGGCCACGACAGTGAGAAGGCTGCGTACCTCAAAAAAAAAAAAAAGAGTGGAGCAGAAGTTGTCATAAATCTGGTCTTATTTTATAAAGCCCCTAATGAAAGTTTTCCCTTTTACATTATTTCATGTAATTTAAAAACAATGTAAATTGTTTTCTCAGTAAGATAAAATGTGAAACGTTCTGAAGAAATCAACTAAAATTTATGCTATTATTATTATTATTTTTTTTTTTGCGGTACGCGGGCCTCTCACTATTGCGGCCTCTCCCGTTGCGGAGCACAGGCTTCCAACGCGCAGGCTCAGCGGCCATGGCTCACGGGCCCAGCCGCTCCGCGGCATGTGGGATCTTCCCGGACCGGGTCACAAACCCGTGTACCCTGCATTGGCAGGCAGACTCTCAACCACTGCGCCACCAGGGAAGCTGCTATGCTATTATTTTTAAAACATAAAATCAAATAAATGGTCATTCATATAGTACCAAAGATGTCTCTGGAGACAACAATATTCATATCCACTGACCAAAGTAATTTCATGAAGAAAAAAATCCTTAACCCAAAAGACATCAAATAAAATACATTTACTTTACTACATGAACTGATAATTAAAAGAATTAGATGCTCATTAAAAAATGCAGCCTCGTTTGTGCATAGCCTGGGTCAAACAATCCTTTGTATCAGAAAGATAAAAACAAAATAATCATATTTAAGTACTTATGTACTTCTCCAAAAGATGAACAGTTAGGTGGTTGATAAATGTGAAAACCTGATTGTATATAATAATCACCATATTTGGTGGGGGGGGTACATAAAAAAACCAAACAGATTGTCATATGTTATTTTAAAAAGTGATAAGACAATTGTACCATTTTAGAAAAAATAAAAAGGCAGAGTTAAAAAATAGTTAAACTAATATCTTAGAAAACCATCCACAAGGAAGGTCAAATTCATTTTCAACATTTTTCAATGTATAAAATGAATGAACAGTAGGCGCAATAAAAAGAACCACAGATTCTTCACGAGGTGAATGTTAAAATGTGGAGCCTAAGCTCAAATACACAGAAATGGGTAAAGGCCAGGTCTAATGTGCACGAGGTTTTCCATCCTACAGCAAATCTGAGATATATGGGTACACTCAACACTAAATTAAAAAAAAATTTCTTTTGGTCCATTCTGTTGCGTGTGCACCTCTTGCAATAAATTTGAGTCAGCACCAATGACAGCTCTGCAGTCCTCCTATGTGGTACTGATCAGGTGGTTGCAGAGCTTCAGCTCACAGCAACACAATGCAGCTGAGCAGGCAAGCACAGCCCACAGCCAGAAGCGGTTCCTACTTTCCAGAACAAGGCGACCTTTAAGCTTAAGTTTCCCGGAGAAAATGAGATGCTGATGTAGAAGACAACACTATGGTAAGCTGTTATTTAAATCAGTAAAAAATCGACTTCGGAATTTTTTTCTTTTTCCTTTTCTTAAGAGAAACTCAACGTTAGGATTGAATATATATTCAATAGCAAGTGCATGCACCAGAAATTTGCTGCAGTGTCAGTTGAGGGATTTCTTTCTAATATTCATTCACTTTGTAAATATACACATTGTTTTCCTTTAGAATCGGCACTGAAAAGAAATCACTTTATAAAATGTGAGATTTAAAGGTATGGTGTTGGTCAGATTTTTCAAGTGCCTTAAAATGTTTTGCAAGGATATATTTATCCTGAAAAGACAAAGATGCATTTCAAAGTATTGTCTTAATATCTAAATAAAATCTCATCCTACATACACATTGACTATTTTATTACTGCAGAGATCTGAAAAAAACCAAAAACCAAAAATAAAAATAAACAACCAAAACAGACACGACAGCCATTTTTTTCCCATCTGAGTAAGGAAGAATATTATCAGAAATAGTAATAGCTTAAGATTCCGACTCTTTATTTGCCGAGAATGCCATTTTATAATATCAACATTCTGGGAAGATAAATAAGAAAGACTATGGTAAAAGAAGGGAGAAAATAAATGAGAAAATGCAGAAGACAGTAGGGGGAGAGAGTCTCTATCACATAGCCCCAATTGAAGGATTAAGCATTTGGACTATAAATGAAGGGGAGCTTTGTTAGTTTAATCACTGGAACAATTATAAAAGAGCTCAACAACAACGAGGTTTATTGAAAATTTTGCCTAATGCTAACTGACCCATGCAGATGCCTAATTGTATTTGCATATTAAAAGAAGGGTGTATCTGTTTGTTTCCAGGCTTTGATGGAATATCAGATATTGAAAATGTCTCCCAGCCTGTTCATCCTTCTGTTTCTCACACCTGGTATTTTATGCATTTGCCCTCTCCAATGTATATGCACCGAGAGGCACAGGCATGTGGACTGTTCAGGCAGAAACTTGACTACATTACCATCTGGACTGCAAGAGAATATTATCCATTTAAATCTGTCTTATAACCACTTTACTGATCTGCATAACCAGTTAACCCAGTACACCAATCTGAGGACCCTGGACATTTCAAACAACAGGCTTGAAAGCTTGCCTGCTCAGTTACCTCGGTCCCTCTGGAACATGTCTGCTGCTAACAACAACATTAAACTGCTTGAAAAATCTGATACTGCTTATCAATGGAACCTTAAATATCTGGATGTTTCTAAGAATATGCTGGAAAAGGTTGTCCTCATTAAAAATACACTGAGAAGTCTTGAGGTTCTCAACCTCAGTAGTAACAAACTCTGGACAGTTCCAACCAACATGCCCTCCAAACTGCATACTGTGGACCTGTCTAACAATTCCTTGACACAAATCCTTCCAGGAACATTAATAAACCTGACAAATCTCACACATCTTTACCTGCACAACAATAAGTTCACATTCATTCCAGATCAAGCTTTTGACCAGCTCTTTCAGTTGCAAGAGATAACCCTTTACAATAACAGGTGGTCATGTGACCATAAACAAAACATTACTTACTTACTTAAGTGGATGATGGAAACAAAAGCCCATGTAATAGGGACTCCCTGTTCTAGCCAGATATCACCTTTGAAGGAACATAACACATATCCCACACCTTCTGGATTTACCTCAAGCTTGTTCACTGTAAGTGGGATGCAGACAGTGGACACCATTAACTCTCTGAGTATGGTAACTCAATCCAAAGTGACCAAAATACCCAAACAATATCGAACAAAGGAAACAACGTTTGGTGCCACTCTAAGCAAAGACACCACCTTTACTAGCACTGACAAGGCTTTTGTGCCCTATCCAGAAGATACATCCACAGAAACGATCAATTCACATGAAGCAGCAGCTGCAACTCTAACTATTCACCTCCAAGATGGAATGGTTACAAACACAAGCCTCACTAGCTCAACAAAACCATCCCCAACACCCATGACCCTAAGTATCACTAGTGGCATGCCAAATAATTTCTCTGAAATGCCTCAACAAAGCACAACCCTTAACTTACGGAGGGAAGAGACAACCACAAATGTACAGACTCGCTTACCTTCTTCTGTGGCAAGTGCTTGGAAAGTAAATGCTTCGTTTCTCTTAATGCTCAATGCTGTGGTCATGCTGGCTGGCTAAGGGTCTGCATTTTCTGAAATTAATGAAAGAACTCCTCCCTGATGTATAGTTGGGAAGATATGCCCCTATCTAACCAGTGACTCAAGCTATATTATGTATTCAAGAAAGCCAGTCTCACATTTCCGACTCTGATGTGAATGAAGCAACTCGTCCTAATGAAGAAGTGCACAATGTCTCGGTACTTGCTGCTACTTTACTGTCTTAATGAAGTAAAACTAATGAGTTTCTTTTTTTTAAATGAAATGTTTTCTTTTTAAGGCTTCAATTTACTGCACAAAATATAAAGCATCTCAACTTTAATATGTATTTTATGTATGTTTACACTGTCAAACATCTGGGAAAAAATAAAAGGTCTATGCTCATAACTGTGTCACTGGCTTTCTAGTCATACCAAGTTAATCTACTTGGTAGAATCAAAATGACTTAACCTTTTTTTGTTCTAGGGTACCTTGGTAAAGTCTTTATGGCAAATGTAATATTGGAGGTATCCAACAGTTCTGTCACCACATAAAGTAAAACTGTGGTTGCCTCCCTATGAATGGTTATGTCACATCATTATTTTGCACACAAGCCATGATTGTTTTAAATCTAAATGATGTCCTGCTTCTGAGGAACTCTTGGCTACTTTACAGATTATATAATGGACAAAAGCTCTTCAAAAAGCTAGAAGACACTAGGCTTTGCATTTTAATAAGTAAAGTTTAATGGCGTTGTTTTTTGTATTTAAGGGAAGTATTAAAAATGTAATAAAACTTTCAAGCTTAAAGACATGTTAAAATATTTAAAAAATTAAAAGCATCCTATGTGCAGGAGAGGGAAATTTATCTTTTGCACATTGGAAGTTAGAATCTGACTTACCTAAGTTAAAAATAAGATTAGTTCCAGGATAAAATCATGGGGGTCTAACAAACATGGGCAGTACTAAGGAAGGGAAGGAAAAGGAAAGGAGAAAGGGAAAGAAGGCTGGGATTCATCTGGTGCTACGACCAGGTGATGAACCCAATAAAAGAGACAATAGGAATACAGCTGGGCATGGGACAGATCTTGACACTCCAAACTGCACTGGGACTTCAACTAGAAGAAAACAGAATTTTCTACAAATATACAAGTAAGCCATCTTTTGAATCAGAGAAACACATAAGTAATAGCCAAGAGTCAGAAAAAGAGGCCCAGCAACACAGCTAGATTAAAATGCAAGACAGCATAACTGAAATGGGTGAGCCACAAATGAGGAATTTAATTTGTGAGACATAAGGAAGAATCTATTTCAAGCATTCTTAGAGTTGGTAAAAGACTACAGATAGAAATTTTTGGGCTCCTTCCTAAGGAATTTTAAAACTAAGATTTCTTTCCACATTTGGAAGCATTTCTATTCAGAGACAGAGAAAAGTAACAATCTTCTAATATGCTCTTTCTTTTTTCTTTCTTTAAGGGGCAGGCTTATGGAAAAATTACTTTTAAGCTTCAATGAAGCAGTTCCTCTCCTATACTGACTTAGTACAGTGACTCCTGAACATTTTTCTGCCCTGGCAAACCTAACTGGCTCACTATTGTCAGGAGGGAATCTCACCATGAAGAAAAGAAATTATATGAAATAGTCCCTAAATGATTTGAAAATGGGCAAGCTGTTTCTCCTCCCTCCCAATCAACAATCTAGTATCTTCACCATCAATGGTAGAGGCTAATTGCTTAGATATTTCCTAATCTACCACATACTTGCATCTTGTTTTAAAAATCCACACACAGAATTGCACAGAAAGTAGGTTTCTTAAAAGTAACTGTCTTTCACTCTGAGGGTGCCAAAAATTCAATGCTGTCTTAGAAATCCTATGAGGAAAAGTGACCAAAAAGTGAAATTTTGTATTATAGCATTAGCAGCACCTACACATTATGCCAATCTTACTGATGTGTCTGCAAAATGCAGAGAAAAAAATCAGTAAATTTACAACATATGTCAACCACACAGACTCTTAAGTCCTCAGAAAGAAGTATTATCTAGCCTTATAGTAATTACATACTTCCTTCTAAGGAAATTGTGTTCTTATCATTACTGATGGTGGAGGGAACAGTATAGTATTTGCCACTCAAACAAGAACTACCATATTATTGGGCTCCATAAACATTTCAAAATGTATTATCCTCAGTGTCTATCTCTCAAGCTCGTAAGTTATATATCCATCCATCCATACCTAAGGTTTGATTTCATTTTACAAGTAACTTTTGTTTCTCCCCAGTCAAGAGAATTCAAATAAGAGCACAAATACAAAAGCAAATGCAATAAGGGATAAAATAGCGGTGAAGGGTATTGTGCTCTGGTGCCAAATGTCCTAGGCCTAAATCCTGTCTCTGCTGCTTCTCAACTGCACAACCCTGGGCAAGTTACCAATGCCCTAAGTCATATGGGCTGGCAGAACTTATTCATAGTGGGTATTTTTTCCTGAGGAATAAATGGCATAATTCATATACAGTCTTATCACAGTGTCTTGGCTCCCCACATTCTACACACAGTAATTTTGCTGTTAGTATTATTATATGTGTGTGTCCAAACCCATGCTTTGAGAAATTCCCACATATGTAAACACCCAAGCGCCACACTCTAAGAGCAAGAAAATGAAATAGTGTATTTTTTGCTTCAGTCCCTGATCCTTCACCCTCCAGGATTCAGGTTCAGATGTTAGTGAGACGGAGACCCAGAAGAAAGTCAGAGAAACATTCTCTTATCACAGCAGAATGAGAAAATGTCTTCTATGCCTAACTTAAAAGATGACAAATATGTGCTATTCAATGATCTTCCATAACAACGTTCTGAAGCAACAGCAAATTCCTTTACACCAAAAATGTCACACAAAAGTCAGTTTAAAACCTTTATAAGATTATTCCTTATGAAATACATTGTAAGAACTAGATAAGGAATGATACCATGTACTGTAAATGTCATGCTTAAAAGTGAAAAATTATATTTCTATTAAAATCAGAATCAAAACAACAATGCCCATTACCATCAACCTTTTAAACATTATTCCAGAATAAAAAACAACAGACATAGGGCTTCCCTCGTGGCGCAGTGGTTGAGAGTCCACCTGCCGATGCAGGGGACACGGGTTCGTGCCCCGGTCCGGGAAGATCCCACATGCCACGGAGCGGCTGGGCCCGTGAGCCATGGCCGCTGAGCCTGCGCGTCCGGAGCCTGTGCTCCGCAACGGGAGAGGCCACAGCAGTGAGAGGCCCGCGTACCACACACACACACAAACAAATACTCAAAGAGAAAAACGTAAAGGAGATTGTTAATCAAATGCTCATAAAATTGATAAGAAAAATACTTAGATTTCCCAATGGATAAGTGGGTAAAGGACACAAACAGAATGTTTAAAAGATAGGAAGCATGGGGATTGATAAGTATATGGGAATATGGCAAACCACATAATAACTGAGAAATAAAAATAAAATGTGATACCACGCTTATTACTGAAACAGCAAGCAATTTTTTAAAAAGTAAAAAAAAAAAAAATCAATGCTGGGGAAGACGTTAGGAAATAGTCACATTCACATACTGGTACAATTCTTTGGGACAGCAATTGGCAATTGCGATGAGAAAATAGCTATTCTGAGTTGCTGCCTAAGCATTTTACAGAATGACAACCCTACACAGACCCAGAGTCTGGACATTTAGATAAGGACTCAAATTAGGATTACCACCAGAAGTTCCCACTTTGCTTTTCCTGGGGCACCTTTTAAAATAAGCACTTAGAGTCGAGCCTGTAAAAATTTAAGTGACTGTCATCCCAACCACCTTGCAAGACGTGCTTCCTACCCTGTACTGTATCTCTTGAACTGGGGAAGAGGACTGCTCTTCCCCCAGCTCACTGTGCACCCCCCCAGCCCCCGGCGACGTTTCTGGGATCTCTAAATAATAAATCTTGTGACTTTACTTCCTTTTTCTGAGTGTATTGAAACTGAGCCTTCAATCAAAATGACCCCAGGGGTTTTCACTTCTCCTGAAAATTGAGGGAGCTACTTGCCAACCCCGAGTGGGTGGCTTGTGCCTCCTCATTCAACAAGTCATAATCTGCATATCTTTAAATTAATATACCAATTAACGCAGGAGGGCAACACAGCAACGATCAAAAACCTAAAATATTTTAACCTTTAACCTAGTAAATTCTAGGTAAATACCAGAAAAACAGAATGCTAAATATCTACCATTAGGAAACTGGTCAAGTACGTGATGACCCATGGGCCAGAATATTACATGTCCAATACGAATATTTATGTAGAGGCTTTTTTTAAGTTTGAAAAGTGGAAAATGCATATACTAGAAAGATAAGCAAAAACTATAGGATATATAAACATGCATGTTATAGAACTATGTATAAAAACAACAAAAAAGATAAATATACCAAAATGCTAATATGTATACCAAGTGTGTTTTATCACCTGCTTTGTCTTTGAAAAATGCAAGAGATCTTAGAAAAGAACTATTGAAACAGCTGTCCAAGGGCTCTAGGCTGAGTAAGAAAATGAGATGATGCAAAATGAACTGTGAATAGGGAGGGGTGGTTAAGAAACTAGAGGGTATCATGGAATAAAGATCAGAGACAGAGATGCACGATCAGATTTCTTGGAAGCACATACTTATCATATTAGCTTACGTTAGCTCTACATGGTTAACTGCTGTCAGGATTGTTCTCCAACAAATCTAACCAGACAAGCTCTTTTCTCTCCTAATAACAAAGCAAATGAACAACAACAACAAAAACCCCTCCAAAAAACTTTCAATAATTTCCCATGTCTCAGAATAAAATCTAAATTCTCAATATGGCTTACTATATGATCGGGCCCTTGCCACCCTTTACAGTATCATCGTAAGATTTTCCAGCTCCCTCACACTGTATAGTTCAAACAAAACATCTTTCTGTCCCTGTAATTCACCATGCTCCCTCCTGCCATCAGGCTCTCAGAGATTCTTCACGTCCTCACCACTACACTCCTTTCCCTCTTCTTCCCCTGGCAAACCTTTATTCATCCTTTTTATCTCTGTGTAGATTATCACCTCCTGCTAGGAGGTCTTTTTTCAGGGCGGGGTGGGGAGAGGGGCCAGCTTGATTTGAATTTATTAAATAAAAGGATGAATTAATACAGATCAAAGATATGACTGGTGCGCTAACAATAACCTACTTAAGACAGACCAAGTCAAACCTCAAGTCTTTCTTATTCTAGAGCTTAAGTTTCTTCCAATAGGTCAAAGTCTTAGCTTCATAGTCCAGGGAAAAGAGATGAAAGAAAAGTTATGAATGAAGGGGATTTGGCTAGGCTGCTACTTGTCATATAAGAAGTTAGTTCTGGGCAGTGGGGAGTTACCTTTGGA